TGACAAATTTCCTAAAACTTTGCAGAAGTACAAAAAGAAGAATATGATGAACTTGCATACACTTCAATTATTTTACACTTGTTTGACACTGTTTTGAGAAGTAGAAAAACTTGATTCTACCAAAGAACTTTGGAAAAAGTTGGAAGATTTATATTTGCTTAAGTCTACTACGAATAAATTGTACTTGCTTGAAAGATTTTTCAGTTTTAAAATGGATCCTTCAAAGGATCATTATATTTGCTTAAATCTACTCCAATTAAGCTGTACTTGCTCGAAAGACTTTTTAGATTTAAAATGGATCATTCAAATGATCTTGATGACAATTTGGATGTTTTTAACAAGCGATTCAAGACATTGTTAACTATGATGAGAAGGTGTCTGAAACTTATAAAATCATCATGTTGCTGAATTTTATGTCTGATTCATATAGAGAGGTTAAGAATGCAATTAAGTATGTTAGGGACACTCTAACACTTGAAATTGTCATAGATTCCCTTAAGAGTAAGGAGATGGAGATTAAGTCTGAAAAAGAAGATAAGAGAAGTGGTGAGCTGCATGTGATAAAGAGTATAATGAAGTTTAAGCAGATGAGTTTGGGTAGAGCTCAAGACAGTAATGATTCGAGTAGTGACTCGAGTGATGAGGGTGCTAAGAAGACGGGCAAGGGACGGGACAAACTTAGTGGTAGATGGTGTTACAGCTGTGGTAAGTTTGGACACTTCATTAGGGATTGTCCCAAGAAGAAGGGTAAGATGAGAGGCGAGACGAATTTGGCATTAGGGTTGAGTGATGACCCCAATGAGGCATATTGAGTGTAACCTTAGTTATTGCATTTGCACCTGTGTGTAATCATTTCTGCATGTGTGTAATTGCTCAATTTCATTGCATGATTATATATTGCATTTCAGTGTGTTTAATATGTGCATTGGAATGAATTGGAGTGATCTTATTACTTGGTGTAATTGTTTGCATGTATAGTGGGTTTGGGATGTATTAACAGTGTGTGAGTACGTCTTTTGGTAAGGTGGAGTCTAGATGCCCAGGGGTACATTGGTGGCTTGTACCGGGGATGTGAAGTGTGACATTTGGATCACGAGTGGAGATGTGATCAAATGTTGGAATCCTTTATATGAGAAGAGAATTTGATCAGGTGGAGTGTGAAAGAGGCACTTCTATTATTTCTGTTAGGTGGAGACCCATTATCCAAGTAGGTTGGGAGAAGTGATGTGGTGATAGATGATTATCCCAAAAACTTAGGATCTATAGAGGCTTACCCTCAGACATGGGTTTGAGTGATTAGTTTAGTGAGCATTATGGGCGATGAGGTGAGTGAGATATGTATTCTCGAGGTGTTAGCAACACGGAATGTGATATGATAAGTGTGGTGAGATCTTTTCGTACGGTCATTTATGCATTTGTTGCATATGTGTTGACCATGTGTTTGATTAATTTGGTGTTAATCTGTTGTTCTGTGTAAACATGTTTGAAAGGATTTGTGTGTTATCCTATATATGATATCTACATCGCATGTTTATTTGCTCTTAATTGATTGCTGTTATTATTTGCTTCTACTTGGGTGTTTTTGATCTTAGCCCCCGTAAGTATATGGAGCAGGTATGTTATGTGTTTTCGATTCGAAATACGAGGTAAGGTCTGTGATACCAATTTTATAGGTTACCTTGATTGTGTAAGTATAAACTGTGTGTTTTGGTTAGTGTTCTTGATCTTAGCCCTTGTGAGTATATGGAGCAGGTATGGTATGTGTTTCGGGTTCGAAACACGAGGTAAGGTCTGTGATACCAATTTTATTGGTTACCTTGATTGTGCAAGTATAAACTGTGTGTTTTGGTTGCTTGTAGATTTATTAGGAATCAAAGTGGAAATTTGTTGGGTTTTGATACCCAATAAATTCGGTCGATGATGTTAAACCGGTTTATCGGATTATACTTCATAGGTCTCAGCCGATGAGTGAAGTGAAATGTCGACACCACAATCAAACAAACCATTCCTACAACTTATTCGGGCAATTTGAAGTAACCTAATTACATTAGTGTTGCTCATGGCCCGATCCATTACCTTGGAAGGTTTTTCGGTGGTAGCCCTATTATTTCCTATTGGGCCTAACTACGTTCTAACCTAAAAGTCCACACTTGGTACCTATATATACTTTACCTCACTACTAAAGTTGGTGTGAGTGAATGTTGGGCAACCATGTGAAAATGAGAGAAGAGAGTGTCGATTGGCTTTGTGCTTTCCCTTTGGCTTTGTGTCATCCTCTTCTCCCTTTCTCTTAGTCTTTGTGGCTGGTTATTATGCTTATATCATTCACTACCCGTTGTCCTTTGTTGGCATCTTGGAAGCAACCGATTTGGGAAGAAAGTTGGGACGTTTTGGTGTTTATTGTGGTGTCGAGTTTGGTGTTGACTGAGCTTGTTCTTGATGTGATTGGAGCCCAATAATCAACAAAAATGCTCTTTTATAGGCATGTGGACTTTATTTTCTGGATGAAGTTTGCTAGGTGTGCACGGAAGTTTTGCCAAGCTCCTTATTTGGGGGGTGGGGTACAATTCATTTTTACATTGGTTGTTTAAGTTGAAAATTAAGGGTTAGGACTCTAATTTTCCGTTGTTGCAGTGGAGATTTGAGACCTCCGACATAGGAAAAATTGAAGAGACAAAGTTTGACATAATATTCAATTGAAGCTTAGTAGTTGGCCGCTTTGATGCATTTGTTGAAGAAGGAATTAAGTATTTGACTTGGAATGCCCACAAAATTGCTATTATTTTTATTAAATGCTGTTGAGAGGAGTGAGGTGGGATGAAGATGGGAGGAAGAAGCAGAAGGCCAAAGGCAAAAGGGAAAGGGTTTTGGATAGTTTAAGCTTATTTTCGTCTATTTTTCAAAAAAATGATTATTAACCCTAAATTTATAAATATTGACCATTTGTCACACAAACACGACTACACGTACAAAAATGCACGTACATAAATAGTACTGATAAGACACATGCAAGAGGTGGGTGGTTTATTTTTTTCAATATAAAATTGACATGGGGCCCACCCCATGTCTCTTTTCTAGTTTTCTTTCATTGAACAGTATTCTATACAAGCAGAGTTTTTGTTGTCATAATCTTCAATATGCAAAAGAGACATTTTATTCATTTTTCTCTAATTTTAAAGTCACTATAGAACTTGCAATTGTTTTTGCTTTTTAATTAATTGTTTCCTTTTACAAGGATCTTACCTCTCTTGAAAGTAGTCTATGAATCGTTGGATATGATTTTTCAATTTTTGAAAATCATAAGGAGTTTTTGAGATTTAGCCACTATTTGAGCCATATTAAAATTTTAATTCTCATTCTTGTACTCATTTTCAATAATACATTTTTTAATAAAATAATATTTTCCATCATATTAATAACTTTTTCTTCTTTTTCAACTATAAATTCTCTATCAATCTACTATTCTAAAATACATTCTTTTAAAATAATGTGGCCAAACACACCCTTAAAAGTTTCTTTTGGACCAGTTTAACTAATTTTAAATTATGTGTGAACTGTGGATTCAATCATTGATGCGCCCCTTTGGATCCTATTGTTTCACATTATGGGCTTGTTGGGAAATGATATTAATCCAATTAAAATTAAAAATATAGTCGTTATTGGATCCCACCTGTCTAATAAAAGTTAACAATAATGGCTAGTTTTTCAATTTTAATCCGATTTTAATCCTTTCCAAACAAGCTTTATAATAAGATGAATAGTAATTTTTTTTGAAAAATGTGTGATTGAAAAAAAGGAAAAAATTTTGAATTTACGTGTAATATTATTTTAGGAGAATTTACAAAAATGGCCAACTCCATGCTTGTTAATTGAAAAATGTCTAATTTTGATAATTCTTACAAAAATGGTCAAATTTGGTATCAAATTGCCTACTATACCCTCAATGAAAAATGGAGCAATTTTTTTTCAATTTGTCACGAATTTCGAGAAGAATAAGTAGCTTCCATGAGAAGCAATATCAATGGTAGTTAATACCTAATTGATTCATTTGCTTTTATTAACTTTTTTATTTGTCACAAATTTCTAGAGAATGTAACTTTCATGAGAAGATACAATAATACAAGATAATACATAATGTGTAAATGTCATTTTATTATCTATTAGGTATTAACCAAGAATTTTGAAAAAATAAATAAAGATGAAGTAGAAAATTCATTAACACTAAAAAATAATTATATGCTTCCAATTCATAAAAAAAATCATATAATTTTATTTTGAAATTTTAATTTCATCCAAATATACAGTTGATTATGCTTTCCAAAATTCTCGATAGAAGGTAAATTTCTTTGAAATCTTGTTTTCGTTGATAAGTTGTATTTAATAGTTGTTATTCTTGACATTTCATGACGTAATCGACATTTTAAAAATTGTTATTGACATTTGAACCCTATTTATGTTGAAACTTGATAATTTATTTGTTTAGAATTAGATTTCGTTCTTAACATGAGAGTTTTCTACATTTTATAATATTATTAACATTTTAAGTGTACTTCATGACATGTCATAAATATTTTATTTACTTACTTTAGGGAAAAGTGAGCATTTAATTCACGATTGACATGATACTTTTTTAAAATAAGTAGTATAAGTTATGTGTCAAGTTATTATTGATCAATACAATTTTTAATTATACAAATAATTTTGTCTTCATTGTGAAATTTAAAATTTTTAATGAGAGCATTTTGGTCTATATTATAGTAAAATGGATATTGAAGAAATTTTGAATATTTTTGCAAATGATTATATAAAAGTGGACATTTTTTGCAATTTCTTCATTATTTTACTAGAAAGTGTGATTGATAAGAAGAGAGAAAAAATAAATTAAAATTTAACGTAAATAATGGATGCCAAACGGGGCTAACAAGTTTCCTTTTAAGTGGACCCTTTGTCTTTCCTTTCAAGTGCACTCTCTCACACAAGTCACAACACACGGCGGAGCAATGGCGATCACCATTCAGGACTACCGATTACCACACGACACCCACAATCTCTACGAAGTCAACTTCTTCGGTGACAATATCGAAACCCTAGTAACTCACGATCCCACCATGGTTTCACAGTGGCTGTCCGACATTGAGTCCCTCAACAACCAAAGCCACCATCGCCTGGTCATCGGCCTCGACGTAGAGTGGCGCCCCAACAACCGGCGCTATAAGAACCCTGTTGCCACCCTCCAGCTCTGCGTCGGCCACCGTTGTCTCATCTACCAACTCATTCATTCGCCTCATGTTCCGTCCCTTCTCGTTGACTTCCTCTCCAACCAGAACCACACTTTTGTGGGCATTGGAATTGAGTCTGATTTGAAGAAACTTGAAGAGGATTATGGATTTGGGTACAATGCGAATGCCGTGGATTTAAGGAAGCTCGCGGCGGACAAGTATCAGATGGAGCAGTTGAAGAAGGCGGGGTTGAAGAATTTGGCCAGATTTGTGCTTGAGAAAGAGGTGGAAAAGCCCAAAAGAGTGACGTTGAGTAGGTGGGATTACACGTGGTTGACGCCTGTTCAAGTGCAGTATGCTTGTGTTGATGCTTTTGTTTCTTATGAGATTGGCAGGGTCTTGAATGCTGCTGAATAAATTGATCGGTAAAAAACTCTTTCTATATATAAAAATAAATTGGGTGTTACTGTGAACATTATTGTATTGTTGATGCATCAATGGATTTCGCAATATATAATTGATTCTGGTTTAACAGATTTGTCTATGTGAATGGATCTAAAGGATGATGGTTTATGCCATCAATAGTGTTTTAAATCCTGGGGTTTGTTTGTTTTATTTTGCTGAGTCTCTTGAATTGTACCTTGTAGAAGGCTATTAGCACAAATTGTGGTTTTCTGAGAATAAATAGTGTTAAGCATTATGCTTGTTTGAGATTATATGTTGGCTGATTTTGCAGGTAAGGGATTGGGGTTTTTTATTGAGCTTTATCAATATTATTGATTGTTGAATATTTTTAAAGGAAGGGAAGTTCCATAGTTGCTGAGACTGGCTCTTCTTGACTTGTTGAATACATCCTTTTTAGATTCATTTTCTGATGATTTCACTTACCAAAACTAGTACTGGAAAAGAAACTGTATGTTCGAATCTTGAATGTTGTGAATGGATGGACGTTTTATTGAACTAATTGATGAAAAATTGTTGGTTATTGTGTTCTTGTGAGGCATGTAGGTGTGACAGAATTAGTTTTTCTTTCTTTTTTTGTTTTGGAATTAGCTTTAATTAAACCATTAGTAGCTTGCAAGTGATCTGTACAATGTAGGATAGTATTAATGAAACGAAAAAAGAAGTTAAAATCTTGTCATTTGTACTGCATACCCTAATGGATGTCGAAAAACTTCACTGGGACAGCCTTGGAACTTGATAGTAGCATATCGAATACTTTGCAGGAGGCAGTCCAAGACTTGATTGCATTTTTGTTATGGTAACAATGCTGATTTAGTTTTCTTTGAGAACTCTGATTGGGAATGAACTGGATTTTTGGTGCTGTGGTTTTTTCTGATGGACATGTCCCAAAAATATGTTAATATGGGATAGAGTATCAGAGTTGAACAGAATTTATGGTGTTCTTGCTATGATATCTTTCTCTATATATAGGAAGGAACATGTGTAGAATATCCATTAAGCAATTTGAAAAAGTAGAAGTGTAGTAAAGTTTGGTAGTAATGGTTACACATTTTTACAATGCATTGCTTCTGGTGTTTAGCTGGTGGATTAATTTGAAGCTGTGAGCCAAATCCTGACCTTCATTTGCCATTGCAACTTACATAAATTTTTATGTCCAAATTTTAGCTTTCGCCCAAATAATCAAGTATTCATCTAGCGAGAAATTTTATGTCAATATTGGACTTGCTTTTAAGCTCATATTAAATGGCGAATCTTGGACTCGAGAAAAAAATATTTCGAATAAGTTACGTCTAAGTTATTGTAGTTCAAAAAAAGTCCTATTTTAGTTAAGGTTAGTAAATCTTTTGACTAGTTTTAAGTAGCCACGTGAGTCACCAGAAATTGAAATTTGAACTTTTGAATTTGGATTAGGATGAAAGCTTTTTAGGATTTGTTTTAATTGATTTTCATTGGAATGAGTTATAACCAATTCAATCATTTTTCAACAATTCACGTGCGGGTTTCAAAAATTGACTAGGAAACCATTTGTTTATGAGTAATGCTATGTAGCCCACTGGGTTGTAACCCCAATTTAGGCGATTTTAAATGATAGACTAAATGAAAAGTGATTTATTTAATTTTACCTATCATTTAATGCCACATTTACGCCACCTAACTCCAGTGGGCTAAATAGCATTACACTTTGTTTATTTAAAATCATTACTTATCTTTGAGATTACAGGGCTAAAGACTCATAATTGATCATTAACTCCTATTGATGATTGATTACGAGTTATAGCACACACTAAATACATATGATATGCATACTACAGCCACATAAAAAAATTATATAGAAAAACAGAGAATATTTTCATGTTGAGGATTCGAAAGGAATACCGGTTGATGTAGTCACTATCATTTTCTTGCGAATAAAGGTAGGATCCCTACACAAAATTGTTGTTATATGAATTAAACTTTCATTTAAGCATTTTATTCGTTATGGTTGCTTATGAAGTACATGAAGTGCTTTTAAAGATTTCTCTTAAATGTTGATGCAAGAAAGATTACATGTTTAACTGATGGCCACAGAGCCTCATTAGAACTTTAAGTTTATATATTTAATTGATGGTCACAGAGGCTTATCAGAATCTTAAGTATATATGTTAAACTGATGTCGCAGAGACTCATCAGTACTTTAAGTGGATTGTTTGATAATCGGTTTGCATATTTATGAATGCAATATGTAAGGATGCATAATTAAATGATTATATGTTCGTATAGCATGTGTAGCCTACTAAGTTTTTTTTTTTGAGATGTTCACTCATTTTAAACATTTTCAGAGTAATCGGAGATTTAGCGATGTCTTGGCATGAATAACATGTGTTGTTGTTGTTGTTGTTGTTATTATTATTATTATTAATTCCTAGGTTTTAGATGGTTACTTTTATGTTTAATAATTATTGGGTGTTCTAGAAATTTGTAGTTTAAATTCATGTTTTGAGACGGAAAGTTTTAACGTTTGAACATGTGGTTTAATAAATTCCAAAATTCTGCTACTGTTTTAAGCTTGTGCCATGGTTGGTGTATTTAGAATTTTAGCATGTTTTTAATTTAAAAATAATCCATTGTGAGTTATCTATCATATGCAATTGAAAATAGGTTGATCGGAGTCCCGTAAAATTTATTATAGCAATTTTAGTAAACTGTGACAGTCAAATTCGGGAAACACATACTAGCTTGTTCAAAAAATAATTTCGTGCTTCAAAGGTTATCTTCGAGATCCTGGATTTTTATATGTTGTACTTATATGAGTTTTATACTTTTCTGTAAAATTTCATAAATTTTCCTCAATGTTTGCTTGGTCAAACAATTTTTGCAAACTCACCACGCAACTGTAGAAAACTATTTCAACTTGCCTTTTTTTTTGGCCGAGGAGTGTCACATGAGACGAAAGGTTTGATTCTTTCCCTCTTGGCGGAGTGACCTTTTTTTAATAAAAAAGAACTCCTTCCAAATTGTTTTGTTCCATAATTTTTTCTAAGTTTATATGTTTAAAAAAAATGTTTTGATTATATAGTTTGAGTAAATAAATTCTAATTTAAAAACTTTCTTTAATCTCTTATTTTAGAGATTAACGTTAAAGAACTCATTCTTCGTAACGCGGTTGGTTATTAGAATTCAGGGCGTTACACTGTCGCGTAGCTTAATTAGCATATCATTTTTTTTTAACATAATTCAAAAATTATACTTACTAAAATTTTTGTACTCAGAGAATAATTCATTATTATAATTATATGTTGATTCCATGTTTTGAAGTTAAACATTCAACTTTCTTTTTGATCTAATTGAAAGGCTCAGCACATAGTTTAAATTTTTCTAAATTTCCGTTGCATGTGCAAATTGGTTCTAACACTTTATAAAGAAATTTCACCTTATTCACTTTAAACGATTGATTTGAACATAGAACAATTTCTCATAGACAATCCAATAATATGATTAGGAGTTGATATTGATTGCCGGTGAAGAAATAAAAAAGAATAGTTAAAGGAAATAAAAGGTAGAAAAGTGTACCTAGCCATGGTCCACTACGAGGTCTAGGTCTCTTACTATACTAAGGAAAGGAATCTCAAAATTTTAATTCCCAGAAATTTGAATATTATGACCCTAAAGGTAAAGGAGAAAATAATTGAGAGAATGTTATAAAGTTAAAGGAACAAAAGAAAAATATAAGAGAAGAAATATAGAAATAAAATTAAGTGTGTGATTTTATTATAACGATTAACCCATTTAAATAAGAGTTACAGTCTAAATAAAATAAACTCTTTTAGAGTAGATAGGACTTATCCGAGTCTTTGGGATAAAATGTATTTTAGAATAATGTTTTCTTTGGAGAATATATGGTTAAAAAGTAATGAGAAGTTTTTGATTTACATATAAAATTATTTTATAGGAGAACGTGAAGTGGAAAATGAGTTTTGAATAAAATGATTTTTTTTGAAAAATGGGAGCAAAACATAGAGTAAGTATTTTGATAATACTAAATATACATCAATAATTATCTAATAATTTTACAACACTTCGCATTTGATGAAATTTGGCGAAATTCAATGAGATAAAAATACAAAACAAAGAAAAAATAGTACAAATAATGATAATAAAATTAGAGTAATAAAATGTCGTCTCGTTAAAACATTTTCAAGAAAATTCAATGTGACAAAACTTGAGCAAAGTAAAATAGTACATATACTCTCCTTAATTTCAATAAATGAAAATCCTTGATGTCTTTAATATCACAATTTTGGTAAAACATGTTTCATGTTATTGTGTTATAGGTTTCAATCTTTGGTGATTGTAATAACATGATAGTTCGATAAAAAAAATGATCTTTTTGTTCCCTTTAGGTGTCTCGTACACAATTTATAACATATAAGAATATTATTTTTATGGAAAATATCTTGTATGTTATGGACATTATTTACCCAATGAATGACTTGTTAAAATCTAGTAGTGGCAACAGGTCAAAATGAGTTGGCTTAGTCCCTTTCTCCACTCGCTCTTCCTTAAGGACCAAGCTTGGAGGTGTTTTTTTTTTCCCCGGGAAAACCCTAGTCCTTCTTTTTGAGTTTGGGATCGGTTACTCAATTTTTGATTAAGTAGAATTAAATTGTACACGAACAACTTGTTATGTGTACATTTTTTTTAAAGAAACAAATTTTTCTTAAGAAAATAACAAAGTATGAATATAACGAAATTAATATCATTTACCTAGCTAGATGCAATTTCGGCATATAATTTTGGACTCAATAATGAGCGTTTTGCCAATCCTTTATATACATTAAACTTTTTAAAATGTCTTCTTTGAGTTGGTTTTTGAAATCGGATAGATCTCCGTCACCTGTAGTATATGTAGACTCCGATACTACAGTGCCAAAGGAAGGTGTTAGTAGTTCACGTGCAATTACATAAACAACGAG